AAGCCAGTTCTGATTAATCTCCTTTGTCAGTGTGTCCCTTGCTGTTCCCTATCACTCCTCCCTGAGAGAGACTTCACCCTGATTCATAAGGAAAAGGGGACGGCATATTCTCTTACCTACTTCCTGCTGAAAAGGGACGCTGTGGGTTTCAGGGTGAAGATCTCTCACTACTCTAAAGGGCCCCTTTGGCAATAGGAAACACATAGACTACTATGGAGATTGATTTTGGAAACACTTCCATGATACATCTTCAAGGATATGAACATGTACGGCTAAGCACAATTGATAACAGTGCATCTAAATTCCAAAATCAATCTCCATAGTAGACAGATTTTTACTGATTAACCTTGTCAGGTTAATGGTTCTGCCAGCTTCGTTTCCCTCTTTCATCCCTTTTCGTCCAGTCGAGTCTAATTTATCCCCATGTCCTTCCACATGCCTTCGTAAATGCCTCTCCTGCACATTCCCTCTTCTCTTTGTTTGAGTTTCCACCATTTTATCAGTAAACTTTACATCCTCTATCTTTTCCTACACCTACATGTTTCATAGTGATTGAAGGGGTAGCCTTGGTTTCTGTTTCAGGTCTCAATTTTGCCTATTTGTTAGTTTCTGGTTTTGCCAATTTTCTCTACTATAATCCACTTTCTCTCCCCTCTTAAGTGATCTTTGTTCTATGGCTCATTGCTTACGTGGTCTGCCTTTGCCTCCAAGTGTTATATATGAAGTAAACTGTCACAGGATTGGACTTCAGAGTCTTGGAACTCTGGGGAGATGTGGTCTGGATGATTTTTGTTTTAGTGGTGTCAGGGCCTTACTGCAGTTGTAGGAAGTATGGCTTGTCTGTTCCATTTCGAAACCTGAAACCTTGCAGGAGAAAGTTGGGACTAAAGTTGTTTGTACAACATAGAAACTTTCTAGGCTGTGATGAGTATAATACAAAGACATCTAACCAGGCAGTTTCCCAGAGAGTAAGCTGTTGATGGTAGCATGGAACATGTAATTTTATAGTTCTATACTCCAGTGTCAGGTTTACCTCTGACTATGTTGCCTTTATAAAGCTACTTAGATCTCTTTATACTTTAGGCTCCTTTTTTAAAAAAACAAAACAAAAAATTATTACAAAATTAGGTATGTTCTAAAGTCAGTTCCCTTAGTACTAGCAGTCAAGAAATAAAAAAAGACATGTGGCATAGGGAAAGCCTGCTATCAGGGACCTCTCCTAGGTGATAAGGAGCCAGTTTAAAGCCAAAGGTGCATTTGATTCAAGCCATGGTCTTTTCTGTTACTTACTATGTATTTGAAAGTTGGACTGTGAATGAGAATGACCAAAGAAGAATTAGTGCCTTTGAGCTGTGGTGTTGAAGAAGAGTACTGCGTATCCCATGGACTGTCAAAAGAACAAGTAAATCTATCTTGGAGAAGGTGCAGTGAGGGTGTGTCTCGGAAGCAAGGATGGCGAAACTTCAAGTCACATATTTTGGACATACTGCCAAACCTTAGAAAGTGACATCATGCTTAGAAAGGTAGAGGAGGGTCAGTGAAAGAGAGGAAGACCCACCACAAGATAGTTGACACAGTGACTGTAATCATGGGCTCAAGTGTGTCAGAGATATGAGGATGGCACAGAACAGGGCAGGGTTCAGGTTCATTGTTCACAGGGTCTCCATGACATGTAGTAAACTTGACAGTACCTTACATGATCCTTCTCAGTTCTGAAAGCGCAATTCCAGTTGAACTAACTGCTGTGTTAAAGATAGTATTTTCCTGAGCATTTTAAAAAATAATACTGAGAGTAGATGATCATTACATTTTTTTTGGACATGTTCTGCTTTTGGTTTTTTACTTACATGAAAGAGGTCTACACTCTTCTTCTCATTTAACAACATGGCTATGTTTAATAGCCTAGGTTAATGTACAGAAATCAACATTATGCCAGTATAGAGGATGACCACATCAAATCACAAAACAGGATGACTGCATCATTGCATAGCTGCCAAACCTCTGAGAATCATGGCCTGAGTACATTGGCACATGATCTTAACCATTACAGCTAACATTACACTTGCCTCAAACCTTAGTGTTCATTACTGCCAGGTAGAATCATTGATGCACAAAATAGATACCAGACTTTTTACTATGATAAAAATTGCAAAATGTCAGGTAATGAATGGGTAAATGAGGTGTACTCACATAAATTTTATTTGCCGTTTATTGAAAACGTTACATTCTGGGGAGAATATTTAAATATAATTCAATATACTTGTTTTTACTGATGTTTTATGATAGACTTAATCTGCAATGAGCACATTTTACTTCTCTTTCAAACTTACATTATATTTCTATTAACCATTTCTCTGTATTCTTTCACCCACTGTAGTCTCTGGATAGAAATTATTAAAAATATTTTTTTACCTGAGAATCAAAATATGTCTTGTTATGTTTTCTTATATTGTCTTATATACTGAGTAAATACAGTATTTTCAACTCAAGCCATTATGTTCTGAAGTTATGGATCTATGGAAATAATGGTGGCCTAGTGGGTAGGAATTGCACTAGCAACCCAAAGGCAGAAGGTTTGAATCTACCTTGTACTCCTTGGGATAAACATGTGCAGTTTACTGCTTCTAAAAACATGTTGGAGGGTCCAAAGTGAGTTGGTTCTGACTTGATGGCACATAGTAACAGTATCTTTTTTCAGGTGGTAAGATTACTTTCAGTGGGTGAAAGAGCCTACTTCTTTGTTTTCTTTGTGTGTTTCACTTTAACCATTCTCTAGAATCTATGTCTGGTTATTATTTTTTCATGAAGTTTTATATTTTATATCTACTGTATATGAAAATAAATTTTTCAGGTATATTTATATATTCTTATATATACCTGGGGAAACTAATGTATCAGATGAAACTAAATTATTAATTGGTATTTAACCTAAAAATTACTAAGACTTTTTTAAAAATAAAACTTTGAAATATATTATTAACTGTAATACAGTGAGCAGCATTTTGATCCTAGAATTTGTTCAGAGACAAATTGATTTTGCTAAAGACCTTTTCATATATTAGGGCATGTCCCTTAGAATTGCTATTTGTAAGATGTCAAAACCTGAATTGAAAAGAGTAGTATTTTAATGTATGTGTTTGTTTTATTTGGTAGGTATTTTATTTCAGCAGTGGTTTTTGTAAGAACAAGGATAGCTGTTACAATGCTGGGAAATTATGGCCTAATGAGTTAGTGACAGATCATAATTTCCATCACTATCCATCCAATATAAGCCATGTTATTTTATGTTTCTGCACATTTTCCTTTTTTAGATCAAAGAAAATAAAGAATTCAATTGATAAATCAACTGAGACTGACAATGGCTATGTCTCCCTGGATGGGAAAAAGACCGTTAAAAGCAATGAAGATGGAATCCAAAACCATGAAACCCGGTGTGAAACCATTCGCTCAGAAGAGGCATCCTGGAGCACAGGAACACTGAGGAACATTCCCACCAAAGTAAGCGTGCTTCCCCCAACATGGCTTCTGTGATTTTTACAGGAGATGATATTCAGTGACCTGGATATAATAGTTGCCCTTGAATTGTTTAGTTTCTGAATTACATATATTCAGAATTTTTTCTGTGGATCTTCGTAAGTCACATTGATTAAGTAGAAAATAGTATAGTTAAACTAGAATGGTTTATTATTAGTAGCCTGGCTTATTCTGGCTAAAATGTTGACACACTATAATTAGTAGCTGATATCTGTTAGGCCTTAATTTTTCTTTCCCCGCGTCCATAAGAATTTATATTAAATGGACCATCCAGATTATACTGGAATCTGTACTAAGACTTCTTTTTCCATTCATATTTTCTATTAGAAAATATCTTGTTTTTCTTATTTTTTATGTTAGCACATCTATTTTGCTTTGTTTTTCAAGCTGAAAACAGTTTTTATAGAACTCTGTTAAGGATGACTATAATTTGTTTAGTTTTTTAAAAAAATAGTTAAAAAGGCCATGGGTTTATTGTCACAGAGCCTAATATTTACTCTTTGTTTTGCTGAATTTTCTAATTAAATAATTTACTTTTTATAAAAAGTGTTACAACCAACAATCTCAAATTAAAAACTCTTTATGATATTGAAGAATGTAAAGAGAAACATTTTGGATTGAGAAAAATTGATGAAGAGATTTTTCTACTCTTATGTTAGATATGTGGAATTACCCAGCAGTGCACATATTTTCATGACATTTGAAAACATGTAGTCCTTTCTGGTTTTATTATTTCAAATATTTACTTCTCTGATAATGTCAGCCTCACATAATTGCCAATCCTTCAGTGTATGTCTTTTATTAATAAGCTTGTATGCATACAATTTTCCAACATATTTTTGTGTATTTGAGACAAACATGACAATATCAATAAAATTTACTCTCTAGAGTCTCATGTTGTTGTTATTGTTGTATACCAGTGAGTTGGAGTCAACACATAGCTGACCCTCCATTCGGTTTTCAGAGCATTTAATCTCATGGGAGAAGATAGAGATTTATAGAATATTTTAATTCTGGATGTCTTTACAAATACCACTGCTGTCAAGTCAGTTCTAACACATGGTAACTCTGTAGGGCTGTACAGTCGCCAGAATACAAATTCTTGATAGAAACAGATTGCTTTATCTTTTATCTCATGGAGAAGCTGGAGGGTTTGAACCACCAGCTAACTACTGTGCCACCAGTTCTCCTCTTACAAATAGATAGGTACAAAATATCTATCTGGTATGTGCATATAGACAGTCCTGTTATATGCTTCTGTCCTTTAAATCTTTATTAGATCAATAGTGGACATTATAGTTGATAACATCTTTTAATTGAGAAAATATATAAAGTACACCACAATGCCTGGTTAACTTCTGTTCTCTCAGCTCCTTTAGATAGTCTCTGTCCTGCTTTTGTTCCATTTTATGGTCCTTAATTTTGTAAACAGTTTAAAATCTTTGGCTGAGAAAAACTTTATAGGACAGTATTTGACAAATTATGTAGAATCATTTTATTACATTTAAAATAAAAGTAAAAGTATAATCACTAATACCTTACATTTCTAGAAAATCAGGTGGTGGTGCTGTTAGGTTCTATTGAGTCAACTCCAACTCATAGCGACCCTGTGAACAACAGATTGAAATCTTGCTCTATCCTGTGTCATCCCATTATCTCTGCCATTCTTAAGTCCATTTTTGCAGTCTATCCGCACATGCAACCATTGTTTCAGTCAGATAATAAGGTAGTACTAGTAGATTACTTAGAGAGCTCTGGTGGCTTAATGATAAGGAATTGTACTGCCTGTGCAAAGATACGTACTTTAAACTCCCCAGCTACTCCAGGGGAGAAAGATGGGCAGTCTTCTACCATGCAGTTGACCGCCTCTGAAAGGATGAGGGGTCAGCTATGGGTGAGTTCCCACAACAATAAATGACTTTGGCATTTAAAGGTATTTTGAAGTGGTGTTTATATTCCATATGTAATGAATTCAGTTGTCTCTCCCAAAATATGTGTTACTTTGACTGGACCATGATTCTCAGTATTATGTAATTATCCTCCATTTATTAATCTCATGTAATTATCCTTTGTGTTGTAAATCCTAGCTCCAATGATATTACTGAGGCAAGATTATAATGGAATTTATGTTAATAAGTCTGATATACAGTAGGTCAGTCTCTGAGTTATAAAGAGATTTAAAAACTGAGCGGAGATTAGAAAGACTTAATAATTGAAAAAAGAAAAGTCTGGACAGGTGCTTGTCATTTGGACCCAAGGTTCCTCTGCATTGTGAACCTCCCAGACTCACAAGAAGATTGATGCCAGGGCACATGGAGACCTCCAAGGGATCCTCGGCCCACAAATGTTGAAAGAAGGTAAAGTTCTTCCTCAAGAGTTGTCAGAGAAAGCCTTCCCCCAGAGCTGGTGCCCTAAATTTGGACTTCTAGCCTCCTAAAATGTGCGAGAATAAATGTTTGTGAAAGCCATGCACTTGTGGTTCTGTAATAGCTACACTAGATAAATAAGAATTCGTATATGTGCATGTATCATTTTAAATTTGTCAGTGTTAGAGCTACAAACTCTTACTATAAATCACATCCAATCCTCTTTCTCTCCTCTCAATTTAGGATGCCCAAAGGACAATCGCTAATGTCTCGGATGAAGTCTCCAGTGAGGAAGGGCCCGAAACAGGATACCCATTACGACGTCGCATGGACAGGACTTCTGAAAGCATTCTTCGAAATAGAAAGTCACACCATTATAAGAAACATTACCCTAATGAGGTATACACTTTGGCTGTTCATGTCTCTTATGTTATTAATTGGACACTCCTTTCAATACTTGAATATTACTATTGTAATAACAAAAATTCCCATCTGTATCTCTTGTTACATGTTCTAGTTTTATAGAGTAGCCAGTTCCGATTCATGTACTGCACACAAATTGAGACATTTACACTCATTTTGTCTTTTATTTCTGAAGACTCTTAGAGTCAGTTTGCTGATTACTTTTAAAGAGGGAGATTCAGTCTGTGAACACTTGAGTCCTTTGCCCCCTCCCCTGTTATTTGAAGAGCTTCATAACTTCTTGAGTATAGAGAACTCATTATTTGAAGCAATTTCATTCACACTGTCACCTGTTCTTTTTTCCTTTTTTTTTTTTTTTAGTTTCTCCAAACTTATTTCCAATTCTATCACATATCTTAAAACTATTTAAATAGGAAAAGAATTTAATTTTTAAAAAATATCTTCACATTCTATTTTCAACATTCATGTTCCATCATCTGGCTTCCAGACAAATTAATTAGTTGTTATGTGATTTTTCAAAAAACATTACCTCCGTCCCTTTTTAAACTTGATTTTTTTTTCTCCTGATGACTTAGAAAAATCCTGAAAAATAACTATTAAGCTTTACTGAAATACAGCTATACATTCAACCTGTTAAGATTTGAAGAGATGTTATTCTTTGTGGACTTTTCTTTGTGATAGCATCTCTGGTTCACCTTCCTGGTTGCTCTGGTTGTGCTCGCTATGACAGTCATTGTTGTTTTGTTAGGTACCTGCAAGTCACATCATAAGGACCCTGTGAGCAAATGATCTGAACTGTTAGACATAGATACTAGGGTATCTGCTCCTTGCCTCCTCACCCCCATTATCTGGTAATCTATTCCCTGTCTTTAAACCAGCTAGCCAGACTTGGGGGATTCACAGTCTTAGTCATCTGTGTCTATACTATGTGGAACTGGACTGAAGCTAGAGGGTTATTGCTGCTCTCCTCTACTCATTTTAGTTTAGAATTCTTTCCCCCTTGCTCTTCTTGATTTGCAGCTGTATTTTGAACTGTTGAGACTCCTGGAGAACACCATCTTATATTTTAAGTAAATACATTGCTTAAGATTTCGTTTTTATGTAACAGCTATCAGCCTGAATAAGGTGGCTATTTACCTAATAAACCTTGGTAGTTTTCAATTTCTCAGTAATTCAGAAGACTCTATAAAAATAAGATCTGGTCTTTGAGTTCTTCATGTGTAGCTGGATGATATTTAAAAGCTGTATTCTTTTTTAAAAAATATTTTGATGATCTTAATTTTAAATGGCATTTGTAAAATTAAAAAAAAAACAACAACCCAACCCTACCCGCCTTTGAATAAGACAGAAGTGAGGCAGTGCACTTTTACATCTGTATAGTATTAATTATTTACTATCTCTCTTCAAAATCTTATTAGTTTTCTGTCTTTAGGAGTGAGACAGTAACAATTTATTGAAATATTTCATTCCTGATGACCAAGCAGTGATCCAACCACTTGTTGTAAACCTTTCACATAGTGACACATACGAAAACCTCTATATGGAACTTTAATTTTTCAATCATCTGATATGCTGGTAGGATAAGTATTATGAAGGTCTTGCCATTTAATCTGCTTTCAATTAATCCCCATGGTTCTTTTTCTTCTGCTGTTTATAGCCAGTCCTTGAGTTACAGACATCCTTTCAGAAACTCACCCTATAATGTAAATTTTTCCCCACTGGAAGCAATTGAACCAACCCCCTACTCTTAACATACTCTTCATCCTTCACTTGCTTCAAGTGCAACTTTTAAATCATCTTTGCACTTAAGTAAGGTTACATAAGGACTGTATGCACCTGGTTCAAACACACTTGTAACAACATAGTTAAGAATAGATCTCAGTGGTAACTTGAGGATTGAGTATATCTAATTAGCTGCTTCCTCTTTCCTTTGGTTAAGGTCGTACGTGAATCCTTTTCTAGGATGGAAACTGTGTCCTGGGGATCTGACAACTTCCTTTAAGTATTTGTCCTGGTTTAAGTCTGTCTCACTTTGTTCAGCCCTCCAAATTGTCTTCAGGCTTTCTTCCCTACTATAGATAAGGTTTTTTATCTAGCCAAGGTGGCATTTGATGGAAAGGCACATCACAATTTAGAAAAATTAGTGAACTTTTTAAAACTTATTTTGAGTTTCATTTTAATACAGTGACTGTGACAGTGGGGTCAGGTATGTGGGGTATATAACAACAACAACAACAAAAAATAATAAGGCTAGCCTTATCAGAATATTGTTATTATTGTTGCTGTTGTTATTATTAGATGCCATTGACTATGTTCCAACTCATGGCAAACCTATGTACACAGCAGGAAACATTGTCTGTCCTGCATGATCTTTACAGTTGCTGGTGCTTGATTGAACCCATTGTTGCAGCCCTCTCTTAAAGATGTGACCTCATCTCTTTAAGGGTCTTCCTCTTTTTCATTGACCCTCTGTTTTACCAAGCATAGTTTCTCTCTCCAGGACTGGCTTCTTCTAATTGCATGTCCTAAGTATCTGAGAATTAAAAAACAGAATGTCACCCTCACCTTCATGCTATTTTGGATTTACTCCTTCCAAAACAAATTTCATATGGCAAATTCTCTTGGCAGTCCATAATATTCAATATTATTTGCCATCATTACAGTGTAAAGGCATCAATTCTTAGTCTTCCTTATTCATTGTCCAACTCTCATATGCCTATGAGGTGATTGAAAACACTATGACTCTGCTCCTTAGTCCTTAAAGTGACAACCTTGCTCTTTAAGACTTAAAAGAGGTCCTGTCAGAGATTTTCCCAGTGCAATATATGATCAGATTTCCCAACTGCTGCTACCATGGCCATTGATGGTTAGGATTAAGTAAATGATGTGCAAATTACCCGGCCAAAGCATTTATATTGTAAATGCTTGTTCCCATTAAATAATCACTTTCCTCAAGGTTTGGCTGTATGTTCAGTTTTAATTTCCTGTCTGTAAATATTTAAAAGCAGAGCAATTAACTTCCTGTCTGTAAATATTTAAAAGCAGAGCAAACCAAATTAAATGTGGTAAGCTAGAACTATATTCACTAATTACAAAATTTCATTTTTAAAATTCAGCAATTTGTAGTAAAATTCAAGATAACCATTAATCATCTAAATATAACAGCTGAAATTCTGTTTGAACTATAAGCAATTATCGGCAATATTTGTTATGTTTAACGTTAACAAAATGATTTTATTAGTCAATATTTGGCAAAAAAACACTTACAAAGAATTGCAGGTATTTCTTTGCAGAGAATTACAAATTATTTCCTTAGCTCTGATACCACTCATTCATTTCCATTAAATCATCAGGTCTTTTATCATGTTACCTATTTCTGATTACCAAGTCTGTATAAAATTTCAGTGACAGCTAGGTTAGCTTTTAAAAATTTTAAATTAGCAATTGCTGATACTGAACAATTTCTGTGCCTTTCAATGGAATGAAAACTGTAGGATGAAAATCATTTATACTTCAGATATTCTGATGACTTAGTGAGTATGAAATATTTTTTGTGCATTTTTATAAAACAAAGACTGATGTTTGCCCTTTAGTTTTTGTTTATGTCTTCATTATTCTTTTCAGCTCATACTAAACTTACTACCCCTTTCCATGAAACAATTCTCCCTGCAAGCACTCTTTCAGCAAACTAAGTATATATTCGTGATACCCCTTTCTAATACAGTGAAACCATCATCATATTGTATCTCATTCATACAAAATATTTTATTACTTTTGGTGAGCACGTCAAAAAAGATTTGTTTGCTTTTTGTCCTTTGTGCACTTACTATTTAGTTTGTTTGAGACCAACTAGAATAAATTAGAGTATATGAAACACATGAATATTAAAATAATGAAAATAATGTTATCAATGCTGGAAAAAATAATGTGTGTCAAGTGAATATACATAATAACTCAGTTTGGTGACAAGGAAATCACTCTGAGTAAAAGACTTTAAATACACATTTCTTGAATTTCTGTTTTGTGCCAGCTTTATAGCTTCTTTTATTTTTACCACTTCTTTAACTAGGACAGTTCTATTCTCAACTGGTAAATAAAGAAACTGAGGCTTAGAAAAATGGTTCAGGTTGGTATTTTTCTGCCACTTCTTTGAATAGGCTCTAAAGGAGAACTGGATTAGTGATAAGTGATAGGAACAAAATCAAAGACTAAACTGGCAAAGAGCAAACTGTGTTTAGGGCCTAGGAAGTAATCAGCTGTCACTGGAAAAGGGGCTGTGTAGAGGGAGAAGTGAAAGACAGAGCCCCAAAGGATCATGCTGTGGGAAGACGAGCATGCTGGGTAATGGGACTCCTAACTTTGTCCAGGAGACCAATGGGGAGCCACAGAAGGAATCATTCTTTCTTTTTTTTAATTTTATTTTATTTAATTAATTTATTTTATACTAGTTTATTTGCGAAGTCTGTATACATTGTTTTCCACACTGGATCTTTCCCATTTCTTTCACTGCCGTGCTCCTCCCCACCCCATCAAATTGTGCAACAACATAGGATCTTTTTTGAAAAGAGTTAAATAACAATTGCACTTTAAAAAAGGTTAGTCTGGTATGACAACAATCCGAAACAAGAGGTGCTTTGCAAAGTCGACTGCAAGCGGGGGAAGGTAGGAGAGAGGATGAAAATGTGCAGCTAAGAATGACTGAAAAAGCATAGTTGATCTAGAGAGAGACTGGGTCTTCTTGAAAGATTCTTAAGCAACTTACTTGAGACTCTAGTGATAGTATGGGAAAGAGACAAGAATAAAGAGCAAACATTTTAAAGGTAGAATTCACAAATTTTAGTGAGAGGACAGCTAAAAAAGTTAAAATTTGAAATTTAGGGTATAGTTGATAAGAATGGCTATTACTGTTTTCATTTAGTGTCAGTTCTTTTAATTTTGAAAATAAAATTTATAAAAAGATAAACGTTTTGTTATGAAGCCTCTATTTTGTACAGTAAGTATTCCTAGGAGAGGATACATTATTTAGAAATTATTTAAATGAAACTTTTCAGGGTTTTTTTTACTTTTATAGACTAGTTCATAAATATAAAATAGTGATTGCATGGTATTTTTATTTTTTGTTAATTTTGTGTCAATTTGTTGAGCTTGTTTGAAAAATAGAAGTAGTATATAAATCAGATGTTGGTTAAAAATTTTAAAAAGGCTAGAGTAAGAAAATAACTCCAGTAAACACACTTAAATTGGTTAATAGTAGTGAGTATATGAATTTAGGATGCCAGAATTCTGGATTTTATGTAAAATTTAAGCAGAAACTAGCATAGCCTCAGTGTGCCAAGCAAAACTTTAGTTGAGGTGTAAAATTAAGTAAATTTTATGTAGGACATTGTTAACTCCTTAAATCCTAGTATGTGGGTTTTTTTTTTTTAAAGTTTTACTACCTGTTTTCACTGTCCTTTGACAGTGTATTTGTGTTTTAGCAAGTAATAACAATATATGGCTCTGATAGCATCCTTTGAGTTGCAAAGGGTACATAAATTGTATTAATGTCAAAGAATATCTTGATTTCAGGATGCCCCTAAATCGGGTACTAGTTGCAGCTCTCGCTGTTCAAGTTCCAGACAGGATTCTGAGAGCACAAGGCCCGAATCTGAAACAGAAGATGTGTTATGGGAAGACTTGTTACATTGTGCAGAATGCCGTTCGTCTTGCACCAGTGAGACTGATGTGGAAAATCCTCAGATTAATCCCTATGTGAAAAAAGAATATAGAGATGACCCTTTTCATCAGGTTGGTTAACAGTATCGGATTATGTGGGATTATCAGTCACGCTCCTTTGCATAGATATAAAAAATTCTACAGAGGAAGCTTCTATTCAATGAGAATAATAGTGCTGTAATTCTTTTTTTTTTAAATGTGAGCTGTGATCTGACTTCATTAGAACATAGAATCTCATTATTTATATTGCTTCTGTGTCTCTTAACTTGCAAACAAATGTCCCCAAGAAGTTTTTGGTAAATGGTATTTTGTAAATTAAATTATGTTTGGGTGCATTAGTCCCTTATTCACGCAGTATACTTTTGGGCAGATTCACTTACACCAAAAGCACAGATAAGATTATGACTTGAAAATCTCTATTTCATGAATATTTACCTCCTAGGACTAGGACATAGGGAGTTCTGGTGGCCTGTTGGCAAGAAGCTGCGCAGCAATTCCGAAAGCACGCAGTTCGAGGCCACCAGCTGCTCCGTGGGAGAAGAATGGGCAGTCTTCTCATATGTGATTAACTGCCTCTGAAAACTCACCGAAGGTCAGCTGTGGGTCCGTTCCAACTCGACATTACACAACAACAACAGTCATCACCAATACTACTAGTATTCAGTACAAACATAAAAGGAGTAACATATATGATAGAAATTTTTCAGGGTAGTCACATTAAAAATGTTTAAAAAGTACAATTCTTTTAATATGTTTTATTTAACCTGGTATTTAAAAATACTGACATCTCAAGTATGTAATTAATATGAAGATATTAATGAATTCTTTTTAAAAACTTTTTTAATAATAGGTTTTTAAAAGTTGGTATGAACATTTCTGGCATTATCTTGTCTTACACCAGCCCCTTTTGAGGTTCTCAGTAGCTGCATGTGAATAGCGACTGCCCTACTGGTCAGCACGTGTCTATGAGATCTCTTTATTTGAATGTCTCAGCAATACCTCAAATTTAACCAAACTCACCATCTTCTTTCCTAAAAATCTTTTTCCTGTTAGATTCAAAATCCTAGTGAAAGACTTGTCCACCTGCTCACCAGTTCATAAATCTAGTGATGGTCATTTTATAGCCCCTGCTCTTCCTGAGAGTCTTCTCTTTCTTATGCACTGCCCATCACATCTTATAATGAAATAAGTAAACCAGGAACTAGAGGTAGGAGGAAAGAAACTGCCTTCTTCTGATAAGGAATAGCTATCAAAGAATCTTCTGAAAAAAAAAAAAAAGAATCTTCTGAAAATCTGCCCTATTTAATGGTGAGATTTAATGGTAGAAGCGATTCTTGAAGGGAGAAACAAGGCAAAGCTGACCACTATCACCACTTTTTCTTTCTAAATCCTAAGAGCATATTTGTTTGTGTAAAGTTTTGGTTGGACTTAAGTGCATCTGACATTTACATTGAGCTCAAAACCCATGGCAGCAGCCATCAAGAAATCAAAACACATCTTGTATTGGGAAAATCGACTGCCAAGGACCTCTCCAAAGTGCTAATGAGTTAGGATAAAAGACTTAGGTTGTGCCTGAGCCAAGCCATGGTATTTTCAGTTGCTTCCTATCCATCTGAAAGTGGGACAGTTAAGGATGACTGAAGAAGAATTGATGCCATTGAATTGTGTTGGCAGAGAGCATTGACTATCCCATGGACTACCAAAAGAACAGATAAATCTGCTGGAGGAGGTGCAAACAACTTGCTCCTTGGAGGCAAGGATGGTGGACCTTTGCCTCACATACTTTGGACATGCTGTCAGGAGGAGCCAGTCCTTGGAAAAAGACATTGTGCTGGGAAAGGTCGAGGGTCAGTGACAGAGCTGACAGCCCTGAGGGTCAGTGACAGAGCTGACAGCCCTGAAAGAGATGGGTTTACATCATGACTGTAAAAATAGACTGGAGCAGCCGAGCTCTGGTGGCCTAGTGGCAAGAAGGTGTATTGCAATTCCAGAGGTGCACGATTCAAATCCACCAGATGCTCTGCTGGAGAAGGAGGAACAATCTCCTCCTGTACCAGTCAGATCTGATTTGACGGTACACACACACAAAATAATAAAATTTAAAAAATTTTTAAAAAAATAGACGAGCGTGGCAGATGTTCTGGATGGTGCAGGGTAACACAAGGTTCATAGAGTTGCTGTGAGTTGTAGTGACTCAATGGTACCTTACAGCGACAGAGTTCACATTAAAAAGGAAAACATCAAGAATAGCAAATATAATTTTAAAGTATGCAAAATTAGGGACATTTCTTTTTGTCTATAAAATGATTTTTGAAGATATGGTAACTAGGTTACCATAGGGAGTTCTGGTGGCCTGTTGATAAAGAGCTGCTGTGCCAACCCAAAGGCACATATTTTAGATCTACCAGCAGCTCTGTGGGAAAGAGATGGGCATTTCCTCCCATGCAGTTTACAGCCTCTGAAAACCCATTGGAGGGTCAGCACCAACTAAAGGGTACACAACAGCAATTAAGATAGTGCTGTGTATAAGGGTAAGGATAAACAAATAGACCTGTAGAATAGAAAAGCAAACCCAATATAGAGCCCTAGTACAGCTGGCCCTGAACAGCATGTGTTTGAATTCCATGGGCTCGTTTACAGATTCCACTCCCCACCCTCCCCCCGTTGCTATGCTGTGAGCTCAAGTATTTTTTTTTTATCATTTCTGTGTGAGAAGTTTGTCTTTCCCTAGAGTTTATTGAGTCACCTGGAGTTTTTTAGATTTAGAGTCACGTGGCATTTTAAGTGGGCACTTTAACACTGGTGCCCGTGTAGTTTACACTCAAATGTTTTTCAAGGGTCAGCTTTCACAGTTCAAATCTGTGTTGTTCACAGGTTAACTCTATGTGACATAACTGATATTACAGTCAGTGGGAAAGAAGAAATTTTCAGTGAATAACTCTAGGTCAAATAACTACCCGTATACAAAAGTTTTTTCCTGATAGTTTATATATGAAAAAGCAAAACTTTCAAAATGGGAAATATCTGGTATGAAAAACAATGTATACAAACTTTGTAAATAAACCAGTTTATAAAAAAAAATTAAGAAGGAAACAAATGTTTTTTATTGCTTTGGGATAGAGAAATTTGTAAAGAAGAGGTGAGAGAGCAAAAACAAAAGATTGAGGGGATTAATAAACTTGAATATAATGAATTTTAAAACTTTAAGTAACAAATGAAACCATAAGCCTTGTTAAAAGACAAGCCACAGACTGGGAGAAAATACTTAGCGTCCATTGACTAGCAAAGGCTTGTTGTCTAGATAGTATAAAAAAGCAAGTAAAAACAAATCACTCAATAGAAAAATGAACAAAAGACAGTCAGTTGGGTGACTAATAAAGATAGCCACAATGTCGATTTGAACACTGAGATGTAATTCCAGTAATTAAAAATGGTCTGATAAATTTTGTTAACAGGAATGTGAAACAAGAACAATGCTGATTTTAATATGAATTTGATTGCTTTGGAGAGTTGTCATTACTAAAAATTGAAAGTCTGCAAGACCCTAGGAAATTCACTCTAAGTACATATAATTCAAGAAATACCTTTTACATACTTGTAAAATGTTCTAGAAGATAGGCAAAAGCAAGTCTGTAAAAGGTGTTCGTTGAATTATATGTGATACTGAAAATAAAATAATAGCCAATAATATTAGAATTAGTAAATCATAGCATTAAAACAATAGAACAGAAATGGAATGACTTTAGAGCTACATCTGTTAACTTGAATAAATTTTTAATTAAAAACCAAGATGATACATATGATATATCATTTATATAAATTTTAAAATATGCTGAACTATTGTATTTAAAGTTAGAAGCATGTGCAGTAAAAGTATAATAAATGTCAAATATAGGATAATGTACCCATAGTTATCAATGTTATCTGTAATAATGTTTATTTAGTCAAATTTCTGAAGCAAATAGGAGGGGATGTTAAAATACCACAAAGCTGATTCTCTGATTGAATTATTTCAATTTAAAAATTATCTGTTGAGACTTGCTTCTTCAACAAAAGGGTCAGGGAAATAAGCTTTGCTTCAAGTACTTGAGTGAGAACAAAGAATGAGGGAGTAGACTGCCTTCCTCAGTTTTTTTAAGAAGCTTGATCATGAACATTTGTTGTTGTTTCCCGTTTGAGTCACATTCTACAGCAGATTTTTAGAAGCAGTGAATCACACGGGAGGAGAATCCCCAGCCTTCTACCATGGAGCTGCTAGTGAATTTGAACTGTGTGCCTTGGGGATTACAGCACAGCTTCTTAGTAATTTTGAGAATATAAAATAGTTGTTAGGTAAATATGTAGCATTGAAGTATTTTGGATCCCATTTCCTAAGATGTGAGATTTTAAACATATTTATGTACAGAGAGAAAACCAATAAGGATGAATTGAAAAAGTTACAGATTAGTAGAATGAGGCTACTTGGGATTCTGGAGAGGAAGTAGAGTTAGGAAGCTTTGAACAGGGAGGGGACATGTCCCCCACTGAGATAGAAGTTCATGTAACAAGCAAGCAAATAAAGATTATTTCCTGATAATCTCTTTACTCAAAACAGAATAGAATGAGCATCTATTACAACAAGAAGGGAGGCAATGGGATAGGGGACTTCTGGGTGGTAGTAAACAGTTGAGGTTATCATTTATGAGGATTGGAGGCGGGAGGGAGAGAATAACCACACATACAAGCTGGTGAACCCACTGTTGTGCCACATTGCTGAAAGGCTACACAAAATCTAAAACTGATTTGTAGTTTCTCATTGCGTTCAGTTATGTAATGTCCTCTAGAATATAGCTATTATAATCATACTGATTATACAGCTGATATTTAGTAAGCATTTGTTATATGCCAGTAACTGTGCAAAGTAATCTAGATCTATAATAAAATATAATCCCAACAACCTTCTATGAGAATGTAGTTAATGGTTTCATTTGTAGTTGAGGAAACTCAGAAAAAGAGTGACAGTCCCAGAGTTACTCTATAAAATGGTTGTTATTAAAGGTGTAAGATAAGGCAGACTCAATGGCATGTAAAAA